TTGATTTTTTTTTGGAAACTGGGTCGTTATCTATGCATTACATACGACAGTTTTCGAGGTCTCCAGCCTTCTGATGATTCCTCACAAGTCCTCACAGCTTTTAGAAAGTTTTGCATTTCTTAATAGAATGCTTTTTTCTCCGGGAGTAGTGCGAATCAACGGATCGGCAATGAAGCTATAGTCCAGGCAGGGCAAGCCATCGCGTTGTGATCATTTCCTGAAAAATACGACCCCCCTAATTCCATCCTCAAATATACGACCTCCCTCTCCCCATGCTACCTACCACTTTCCTAGATTTTCCCAACTTCCTACCACTTTTTCCATTTTTTCCCAAAAAATTTCCAGTTTTTCAGCCAAGAATTTTCCGTCGAGTGGGGAGGGGGAGGTCGTCAGGATTTAACTATCATTTTCAACTATCGGAAATAGTAGTTGTATAGATCTTTGGCAGTCCCTCTCCCAACAACGACCAAATACGACCCCCCTCCCTCGCGGTCAAATACGACCCCCCGTTGTGATCATCACAACGATGGCGTGCCCTGAGTCCAGGGCAGGTGTAGGTATGCTGTGCGACTCACATAAAATTATGTCGAAGATGATATTCAGTTGGTTCAACAGGGGAAAACAGGGTATGAAGCTTGCGGATTGGGAGCTTTGATAAGAACGCGTTTTGTGTGAGTCGGAGTTCAGAGCTATGTAGATATTTATATTGCCACTACTTGGGATTATCGTGTTGGGCGGAGGACCACTACCCTTGGGCGTTATCACGGTAGCTTGCGCTTTTATTTTTGGCTTATATTAGTTGGAGGCAGGGCTCTACAAATGGACAAAGGCATCAATGGGCTGTGTTCGCGCCTTTATTTTCTCTGTTTCATTGTTCAGTACGATTCTAATCAAAATTCAAAATTGTTTTTTTTTTTTTTCAAAATTCTCTCTCTCCATTCCCGAGTGGCTGCTCTTTTGTCCTTTCCCTCTAAATATGTACATATCCTCTCAAAATTTTGTTTTGCTGATAAAGCTGCTGTTTTTGAGGCATTATTTGGATTTTTCAGCGTTTTGGTGTTCAGGATTTGATCCCTCATCGGCTAGACGACCGAGAACGGCGACAGATCGGTTACTACCAATGGGTTCCATTTGTGTTAGCCGTTGCCGCTCTGATGTTCCACATTCCATCATCGGTTTGGCGGATGCTCTCCAGTCAAAGCGGTTCGTCAGGATCATACTTTTGCTCATGCACTTACGAATTAGCGCACCCCAGAGAAATCCATCCTTTGCCGGGATGTTTGGCTAACCAGGTTTTCAGGTCTAACGCTGGTTTGGTGCTTCAGTTGGCGTGCCAAGAGCAGAATGTTGATCCATTGGTACGAAATAAAACCATCGATATTTTAGCCAGGCATATAGGTGCGATTTCCTTTTAAATGTTTTGCTTATTTCTTTCTTACGCCCCGTTTTTCCCCCCCCCCTTTTCCCTGGTACTTGGCCGCTGCCGAGGATTCCGATAGTTCCTTTCCCTTTTTTTATTCGACCATTTCAGACGATGCTTTGATGTATCAAAGAGAGCACGGAGCCCGAAAGAAGAATATCTACATTTTTGCCGTCGTTCGAGTAGGTAAGGGAGTGAGAAGGAGGTAAATATGAGGGAATGAGAATAATGCGGCTGGCCACCGGCACTGAGCCCCAGTGGTTTTAAGGTAAGAAAGCACCGCAAGAAGTGATTGAGCTCCTCATCCTTCTACTTTTTTGAAAGTCAAGCAGGCCTAATGACTCCGATTACAACCTTGAAAATCTTGAGTCTTGGCTTTGTATTAGCCCCTCGTGCTTGTGTTGGCATTGAAAGAGCAATGGAAGCAGATCGGGCTTGGAGGGGCTAAAATACTCAAAGAAGCGCCTTACCGGCTACTCTCGTGAAAACCTCGTGAGGACTTTCTTAACCAGGTGCCTTCACTTACCAACCACTTTCCGCAGCTTCACAAGAGTTCACAAGTTTCACCCACAGTAGACTTGTTCATCAAGTCGTACTAGCAAAACGAACAAGTGAAAACCCCCTCCCAAGCCAAAGAGCGCCAAGATGAACTTTTAAACGTCGCACGACTTTACCCTGGCTCCGAATCCCCATGAGATGTTTCTCTTTCACGCACTTTCGGGAAAAACACCTCGGTTCTTTACTGGTTTCGTACCTTGCCCTTTCGGGATAATCCTATACATGAAGGAAAAACTCAGAAGGTAGCACGGCGACTAAACACCGAACTTCATATAACTAAAAGATCGAGATCAATGGTAGAGGCCAACAGTTGTTCACAAGATTGATCTGTGGTTTCTGACGAACAACTATCTCACGAGACTGGAAAAAACTCTGCTCGGTCTCGTAGTCATTTTTTTAGTCCTATGGTAAGAATGTTTGACTGCCGGCTGAACTTTTTCTTCAGGGTAGAGTCTGAGCCTCTGGAGTGCGTGCGCTATTTCTCAAGAATTCTTTTACAGGCAAATTCTATGGAGCCTACGTGTCGACGGTCTATGTGTTTATCAAATCACTTCATCTCTGCAATGTGATACTGCAATTTCTTTTGCTGAACTCGTTCCTCGAGACGGCCGAGTATCCGCTGTTCGGCGCCCACGTTCTCTACGACTTGTTGCTAGTGAGTGAAGGAAATTTTTGACAGTGGCCGTGTGGCCGATTAACTACAACTTAAGAAAACAGCCGCAAATGCCAGGAGCACCCAAGTGGAAAGTGGTCGATTGCTGTCGCGTGTTTGAGCCAGCTATAACATCATGTTATGAATATCTCATTGGAAATCACGTAGTGTGCAGCGGCATGCTCCCGTTAGCATTTGATTCCTTATGCATTGCCAAAACATCCGGGACATTCTTGGGCGCCTCATGAGCTGCCATCATGGCCCTGTCATCCCTTTTTTGATAAAAACACCTTAAATATGTATGAGGCGTAAGATAGGATGATCACTAGCCAGACATTTTCCCCTTGTAACCAACCAGCGGATGGTTTCAGCTCTCCATGGAACATTGAATGGCGACCTAAATGATTTCGTGGGTTTCGAAATAATGACTACTAAAGTTTGGATTCAGATCTGCTACCTGCACCTTCCAAGTGAGCGGTACAGCATTGTGATGTGTGAAATGGTGGGGTCAGTGAGCCCCCCTTCGAAGAAAGGTCTTCTTACGACTCCCCACCGTGAGAGGGTCTCTGTACTCAGCCCCATCTTTTCCCAACCACAAGCACCTACCCACCACTTTCCTACGCATTCCCATCTTTCTAATTCCCCATATTCCCATTTTTTCAACGCCATGGTGGGG